CACGCACACACGCACACACACACACACACACACACACACACACACACACACACACACACACACACACACACACACACACACACACACACACACATATTCCTCTTTGCTTCCTGGGTCCCCATTTTTTCTGCCTCCGTTTGCCACTTGATCAATTGCATATCAGGCATCAGATCATGTCTGCCGGAAAGCTGAGAAAGAAGCACCTCCAGTCTGAACCAGTCACGTACGACTGTTTATCTCTTGGGGAGGGCTGAGCCCGTACAGATTTCACGGCCCTGCTGCTTCCATCCTCCGCTTTGGACATTCGGTCGGAAGCGTCGGCTGGCTCATGTTTGGTGGTGTTTCCTTTCCGTTCCTTTTTCTTTTTCCTTCCAAGGATTAGATCCCATCCCACATGCCAGTTGCCCTCCTCTCTGGTTAACACTTCTGTGGGCAGAACTGGAAGCTGTTATGATCTCGGGTCAGCCTGAGCAGCTGGAGCAGTCCCACTATACCAGAGAGTCCTTTCCCCCCAGCTTTCTTGGAGGAGATGAGCAGTAGCGGTGGCTCCTCCAGGGCAGATCCCACATGCCAGTTGCCCTCCTCTCTGGTTAACACTTCTGTGGGCAGAACTGGAAGCTGTTATGATCTCGGGTCAGCCTGAGCAGCTGGAGCAGTCCCACTATACCAGTGGAGAGAGTCCTTTATAGCTCTCAGCAGCTTCAAAACCGGCCTGTTAAACTGGCGTGCCTCCCCCCTTTTGCACACGCGCACACGTGCACACACACACACCTCTTGATTTCCCCCTTCTTTGGAATCACGCACCAGGAGGAAGAAGTCAAAGTGTCCATCTGTCTTGCAAAGCCAAACACGAGTACAAACAGAAACTCTGCTCACAAAATGTTTAGGAACAAACCCTTGTGTGTTTCCTATTTTCCTCCCTGGGAGTCCTTCCACAGCCGTTCCTGGGAAAGGAAGGAGGGAGAGCCAGACATCGAATTGGCTCTCAGTCACCTTCCTTGCCTGACAGTGTTGTTGTTGTTGTTGTTGTTACTGCGTGTTTCCTCTGAAGGGCAGGCTGACAGACGGGAAGGGAAAGACCATTGACTGCAAAGACGCCATCTTCATCATGACCTCCAACGTGGCTAGCGACGAAATCGCCCAGCACGCCTTGCAGCTGAGACAGGAGGCCGTGGAAATGAGCCGGAAGAGGATTGCTGAAAAGCTGGGTACTCGGCTTCTTTCTGTCTATCGGCTTGTCCCTCTTCCCACTGCCCAACCCCACCCCGTCCCCTGCCCAGCAACGTCCTGATCCGTCCACTGACGGCCAACCCAGCAAGCGCTTGCTAAGATCCTTCCTTCCTGGAACAGACAAAAGATCCACCTGGCTCAGTATTCTCTGTCCAGCCGTGCTTCTCTGAAATGCTCTGAAGAAAGAGCCCACAGGGGCTGAACTTTGCTGGTTTGTTGCTAGTAGATATCTCTGTTCAGGGAGAGGTAGACTGCACCTGAGCGTGGAAGTTGCGTAAAGCCGCAGCCTTTGATGTAGCGCTGCTTGCCACTGTGGCTAGCCTTCTAAGCCAGCCTGTGCGTGTGTGGGAATGGGTCTTGGTTGCTCTCAAGATGTTTGGAAAGCGGCATGGAGCGGGGAAACGCTGTCAGGAGCCCTTGGCGTGGAAGAATCGGGGTCCTGCTGTGAGAACCCTACACAGAGCGTAAACATGGAGACCTCCTCCGGAGCGCATCGGGTACCAGGGACTTTCTTTGGCAGGCAGGCGGGAGCACACACTGCTGACCCAGCAGGCTGATGGGTCTGTGGGCCGGCGCGTTTCCCTCCCCTGAGCCACAGGGCCGTCTCTCCCTTCAGGCAGGAGAACGCGGGCAGAGGCCAGGTTTTCATCTTGGGAACGCCAGTGGGTAAAGACCAGCGAAGCTCCACACGCAGGGCCCCCTTCTGGATCCCTCTGATGAGGGATGTTGCTTCCGTGTCTATCCGTATGTTGCTTTGGCACCTGTGCCCCTTTGTTTAATTTGGGTCGGCTGTAGCTGTATGGTTTGTATTGCCCTTGGCAGCCGGACGGTCAGGATAAAAATCAAGTAAATAGATAAACGAGGCAGATACATTAAGGGACCTTAGTGGCACTGATTTAAGTGGAACTCCGAGTAGAGACCGGGGTGTTAGTTTTGTATGAGGAAAGAACCCTGAATTTTTCCCAAAGAGCAGAGCAGGCATTGTGCAGGTCTGGTATTGTTGGCTGCCCCGTAGCAGAGTCCGCAAGGGGAGCTTTGCACCCCTCAACCGGGGGCCACAAAGCTTCTCTGACACAAGAGAGGTGGCACTGCCCACTTGCTGCCCCAGGCACAGGATGATCGTGGGTCTTTCTCTGCTCACCCAGCTTGCCAGGAAGGAGTAGAAGGTCTGAGTCACCCGGGAAACGGCCCCTGGACGTTTCCAGCACAGAATTCCTCTCCCTAAGCCAGTGGGGAACAGGGTCCCCCGTCATCTACATCCAGTTTCACTCGGGTCTCACTGCCTTAAACCTGTCTCACCGGCAGACTCTCTCACTCTCCCGGAAGTCTGCCAAGACTTTGGGCTGGTGCTCCATTGCTGGCCATCCGTTGGCAGGGGCTGCCCGGAGTCTCAGGCAAAGGATGGGCCTTCCCAGCCCTGTGACCTGAAGCTCTCTTAAGCGGCCATGCTCTGGGAGCAGCGGCTGTGCCCCCTGGGCTGGGCTTCTGCCAAGAAACAAGCAAGGACTTCTTGTCTTCTTCCCCCTGCTGGGGGAGGGGGGGAGAGCCCAGGTGTGTTTGGAGTGCCCTGATCCTTGAGCCCGCTCTGTCGCTTCTGCCAAGAAACAAGCAAGGACTTCTCGTCTTCTTCCCCCTGCCGGGGGAGGGGGGGGAGAGCCCAGGTGTGTTTGAAGTGCCCTGATCCTTGAGCCCGCTCTGTGCCTTGCCTTTCAGACGATGTGCAGATGCGGGACAAGATCACCATCTCTAAGCAGTTCAAGGAGAACGTGATTCGTCCAATCCTGAAGGTACAGACGCTGCGGTTGATCACTCATCCTGCCTTTTGGCCCAGCGGGAATCTGGGAGCTGCCTGGGGCTTTGGTGCTAGTTTTCAAGCTGGGCTTACAAAGCAGAGCTGTGGTGCAAAAAGGGGTTTTAACTGCATGGGAGGGAGAGAGGGAAGCTGCTAAGACTTTGCCTGAAGAAGGAAGGGAGGGAGGTTGGTAGGTTGGTTCCAGAGCTCAGCCTCTTCTCTCTGGGCCAAGAGCAGATGCCAGCCTGCGTAGGCCATGACCTTGTTAAAGCTACACAGTTGTGTCCTTGACCCAACCTCAGTGTGGGGGAGTCCCTGAGGACGAAGAAGGGCCCCACCAGAAGCACACGAAATAATCACGAGGAAGGGCATTGGTCCTCTGTGCCATTTTTGATCCCTATCTGGGATGGATCCCTTGCCTCCTGTTGGCCAGGACTTCCCACCCTCTCCTTGGGTCAGCTACTAATTTTGCCGTTCTCCCCGGTTCCCTTCCACAGGCTCACTTTCGCAGAGACGAATTTCTGGGAAGGATCAATGAAATTGTCTACTTCCTTCCCTTTTGCCACTCGGAACTCATCCAGCTGGTCAACAAGGAACTGAATTTCTGGGCTAAGCGGGTAAGGGGGCCACTCTCTCTCTCTCTTCCCTCCCCCCCACCTTCACCAGAGAGATCAAAGGTACAGACGTGTGTCAGTGAATGTGCCTTCAAGCCTGTGGAGACTCTAGGAGGGTTTCCAAGGTATGCGAGAGAGGTAAGGGGAGGCTTAAACGTTGCCTCAACAACAAGAACCGCACCGTGGCTGAGCGGAGAGAACATGCCCCTGGCTCCTGAGGCCTGGCCCAGCGCTCGGTCCGCGATGCCACACAGACCTCCTCTTGAAAAGCGGCTGGTGCAAAGAATGGAATTGGGGGAAATCAAAATAGTCAAAGGCACATGGCTATTCTTTTTTACGATGGCTAGAATCAATAATGGCTTTTTCCTATACCCTTTCACTGAATTCACTCCAGTCCTGGGACTCTAAGCTTTCCCGTTAAAGATGAAGCACATTTTTTCGGGGCCATGGGATGGCAAACACTTGTTTGAAGGCTATCTGTAAAAACTATCAGTGTTGAAATGGGGTGGAGGTCCCACACCCTGCTCACTTACCCTGTCTTCCTTCATAAACTCCAGCTGAGGTTTTCGAATCTCAAACCTCTCTATCTTAGGACTTTTCCATATGTTTCCTTCGTTGAGGCAGTTTCGGCTGCGTGGCTCAAGTTAGAGGGCACACCTGGAATGCAGGAGGTGCCCTTTTAAATCACCGACCTCTCCAGGGATCGCTGGGAAGGTTCTAAAATCCCAGAGAGCTGATGCCCGTCAGCATTCAGAGTCGTATTGAGCCCGATGTGCCTGGGACGGGACGAGGGGTGCCTGGCTTCATCTGAAGGCAGCTTCTCACGTTTACATAAAGTTGCTTCCTAGGAAATACAGAAGTTCCAGAAATATTCAGCGAGTAAAATAAGCTCAGAATAAAAAAATCCTCCAAGTGAAAAAAAAAATTCTGTGTGGAGCAAACCAATTTTGCAGGTGGATTTTACAGGCATCAGGTTCAGAAGGCAGAATTGCTGTGGCCCTTTCTGGATGCAAAACCCCTTTCTCGATGCAGGGTGTTTTTCACTTCTGCGTTAAAACACACACACAGCAACGACGTACAGAAATGTATTGTGGCTGGGCCTCTTTTGCAAAAGCTCTACTGGGGCAGGGGAAGAGATTTCCTGCAGCTTCTGTGCAGTCGGATCTTCCCCAGGTGGGCATGCCTTTTTTCCAGATAGATGTGTGAACTCCAAACATGTACTATTGGGTAAAGCTCCTGCAATGTGACAGGAAGGTGCTTGGCAATAGAATCCCCTCCCTTTTTCCACACAGAGAGCTCCTTGGGGTCTCGTGAAGATGTCTGTCCAGGCTGCGTCTTGAGACCTCTGTTCCCAAACGGTCGCTTTTCCTCCTTGGGGTCTCGTGAAGATGTCTGTCCGGGCTGCGCCTTGGGACCTCTCTTCCCAAACAGTCACTTTTTCACATCACCAGGGTGTTGGTGGTGGCAAGAAAGAGCCCCCCCCACCCGGTTTAATCAGGATTGTGCTGAAGGGAGGACTGTAAAGGCGCTCCTCCCCCCCCC